TTGCCCCGGGTGCACCACCACGGGTGCCCACCTCTTGAAGGGAATTATAGAGTTCTGGCTTCTCATCCTAGGGGTTCCAAGAAGCCACCCATGCCTAGGAGGTAGTGTCATTACCTTACTCTCCATATTTAAAGTTTTATTGCAACGACTTTTATTCTCTCTCCCTCTCTTTCTCTGGGCTGGTTCTCGATCTTGTAATTCCCTAGCATAAAGAGTGTGTTTATTCTCGAACAATATCACTTATGGCTAATCTAATTAATTGTACATGCATTCCGAATACATTTGCTCTCAATGAATAGCGATTACCATACTCATGTGTTTTTTTCCAAAGATTGAGAAAGCCAGTAGTTATTTATATATTTTTTTCCACAATTTCGCTCTTTACCTCAAAATCTGCGTTCTCCTTTGGCGAAATTTCGTTTTTCTTTCCCAAAACAATGTCCGATGAAACACACCTAACAAACCGCTTTTCTCCTCCTATTTTAGATTCAGGTCAATGCACCGATTATGAGGGCCGACCGGAGTAAGTTTCATCTCTTAATACTCAATTAATTCGAATTTTTATGCGCATGCGTTAAATAACCAACTATTTAGAGGGTACACTTCACAGTTTTATGAAAGCTCTCATTTCTAACGACGAAACAAGCTCAAACTATTTGCCTACTGTATTATCAAAATGGGGGGTACTGAATAATCCATTGTCCTATTAGCCACATTTCCCTTTCTAAATATAAATTATCTTATCATCCATCATCAATTATGCTAGTTCCAAATTTTCAACATACTGGTAATTGCTCTTTGCTTCTTTGTGGGAGCTGATTGACAATGATTCTTTTCTCTCCATTTGGCTAAATGTGATGGATGTATAGGCGCGGAGACTGGACTAGACTATTCTCGCTTTCATTCTGTCATAGCAAAACACTGCAATCGACTGCAGGGTATGCAGTTTCTTATTTCTCAGTGTTTTATTAATAGCTCTGCAGTAACAGGTCCCCCCCCCCCCCCCCCCCACCCCGATGGGGTCGTGTTTACGCTCCACTGCATCGTCACCTCCCCGTCAGTTGACACGCTCTTGGCATTTGCATGCAAGTATTCAGTTGTCTAAAGCTTGTTTCCCACACAATCCTACTTGTTATTTAAGTTGGCCTGTAGATATACCTGGTCTTGCCAATACTGACTAATTAATAATGTATGCGGTGTTGTGTATGTCTATCCTTAATTAATTTTTCACTATTCAGTCACAGACAATCTATAAATGCTTGGTAGGATTATCATTGAACCTTTGAACTAGAGCTTAAATGGTAACTCAAATATGACCCCATGATTTCCCATGCGACGGAAGATGCAGTGAATTCCTTTGGTCATGCAATTTAATGGTAAAATGTGGTGGTTAAAATAGGAAAGCCTAATAAATTTGTCGCATTTATTTGCCAATTTTAATGCCATTCTTTTGGGCTTAGGAATTTATTCAATAAAATATTTGCCCAAGATTCGTGAAATGTGTGTTCACCAAAAAAAGATATCCTCAAACTCGCATTCTGACTAAATGCGATTTTCAATCCGAGACAATCCGACTTTTAATCGATTACACAACTAACTCACTATTGATGCTTCGCTGGACTATTTGATAAAATCAATAACCTTTGATTATCTAAAACTATTGATTTCTTTTTCACCGGATAGTATACTAGCACTGCCTTAAAGGAAGCCAATATGTTGGCAAAGTGTAGTGTTTGCGTTCTGTTCAAAGTGCACGATTGCCAAGTAGGACGTTGCGAGGTTGACACTCGTCACCGAACGTTCAAAAGTGTGAATGTCCAATGGCATTGGGTCAGTTCTGGTCAACAAGGGAGGTGGGGGAGAATGTGAGTGTCCCACCAACACTAGAATATTTTCCACATCTTCCACTAACTTCAATCTCGTCTCTTATTTTGGTTTGGGGAATTATTTATATCAAATGGCGGGCGCTTTGATAGCTATCATTAGTCCTATAGTTGAATTCGGGCTTCACAGAGGGGAGGAGGAACATCAAAGTAACAAATGTTGAGAGGGGGGACATAAAAGTGTTTCAAAGACGAAGGTAGAAAAGGAAGTATAAAGGTGAGGTGAGTACTGTGGAAGAAGTCGAATATGACATACAGTGGAGTGATGGTAGTTTGAAGTCAGAAGTCAACTGCCAGTTTATAGACTTTTTACCGTATTAGTATACATTGACCAGGGTGCACCATGTGGAAGTAAGTCTATCGCACACCCTACACAATGCGTTTCGATGGCGTTTTAATTACTAACACACTTAAGCATATGGATTGCAGTACTTAAAAGTGCCAAGATCTTTGAATCAGCTTTCTGGTGCAGTCCATTTAATAAATTGTAGCCATGATTTACCATAATTTATTCGCATTAAAGGTGATTACTTCAACCCTTCACCTTTTTTTAGGCCTGCCAAATCAATTTATTTCATTTATAGATTGACATTTTCCTTCCACAACTAGTCAGGTCGTAAGTCCAGGACAATTCCAATTGAAAAATAGCTCCCATAATCTGCGCACATTAGCACCAGAGAGAGAGAGAGAGAGAGAGAGTGGGGGGGGGGGAAGG